TTGTATCTGGTGTATCTGGGACCCAACAGGGGAGGAACTTTTAGTCTCCAAAAAGGTGATAACCCAGATTAGACAATGGAAAGGGACTGTGGAAGATGAGAGGGCAAAAGGTGCTGAAGTTGATATGGAGGACCCTCTAAATTATGGCCAAGACAACAGAGTAAGAGTGAACCAGGAATCTTATAGGGAGTTGGAGGGATTAGTACTGCAGCCAACAGGAGAGCCCTGTCTCAAGAGGCCAGCTGTTGCTTGGCTCCAGCCTATTTCTGCTTTGTGACCCAATGTTTGTTGCCAAATTTTCCAGTTTTTCAAGGGAAGCTGGAAATCTACATTATTTGAAATCTCAATTTTCAAGTGCTGGCAACTAATTTAAATTTATGTAAAATACTTTTAGGTCAATCAATACATGTTTTTGAGCTGGGTTTGGCCTGCTAACCACTACGTTTTTTAATCTCTTATTTGACCCAATAGAAAATAGTTTCCACTGTGGTTACCCTTAAAGTGGTTGGAACCTTTAGCTGTGAATCTGAACAATTGCATAGCGTGCCAAGAGAAACGCAGGGATGCTGGAGGGGAGGGTCTACTGCAGAACTTGAAAATGAATATGTCCTTCCTTTTCCTCAGACTCACCTCCAGTGATGGTGCAAAAGGCTACAACGCAGTTTGTCACTACAGGGTCTGTTTACACTGCCCAAGGAAACAGGCCAAGAATGGTAAACTAAATACTGTGTCCAAATTTCATGTGTGTTACCACTCTTCCATAAGAAAAGTCTGCTTAAGTGGACCACAGACCTAAACGTAAGAAATAAAACTATAAAACTCCTAGAAGAAAACGAGCAAATTTCATGATCTTGGCTTAGGCAAAGCTTACTTAGATGTACAACCCCAAAAGCACAAGGGACAAGAGACAAAAAGATAAATTGGACTTTATAAAAATTAAAAACTTTTATGCTTCAAAGGATGCTGTCAAGAAAGTGCAGACACCTCACAAAATAGGACGAAATATTTTCAAGTCATATTTTATAAGGGACTGGTGTCCAGAATATATAAAGAACTTATAAATTAACAATAAAAAGATAACTTTAAAATGGGCAAAGGACCTGAAAAGACATTTCTCCAAAGAATATGTGCAGTGGCCAATAAGGACATAAAAAGATGCTTAACATTAGTCATCCAGGAAGCACAAATCAAAAACTACAATGAAATACCACTTCACACCCACTGGGATGGCTATAATCAGAAAAAGTGTTGGCAAGGATGTGAAGAAACTGGAAACCTCACACACTGCTGGTGAGAATATAAAATGGTGCAAGTGCTTTGGAAAAGTTTGGTAGTTCCTCAAAAGGTAAAACAGAGTTACTATACGACTGAGCAATCCCACTTCTAGGATATACCTAAAAGAAACAAACTTTGAAAATATCATGCTAAATGAAAGATGCCAGTCACAAAGACCACGTATTGTATGATTCCATTTACATGAAATGTCCAGAACAAGCAAATCTATAGAGACTGGTGACGGGAGAAATAAGGGTTGACTACTAATGGGTACGGGGTTTCTTTTGGGGGCAGTGAAAACCTTCTAAAATTGATTGGGTGATTGCAAAAGTCTGTGAATATACTAAAAACTACTGAATTGTGCACTTTAAACACACAAATTATGATGCAATGTGTGAATTATATCTCAATAAGGCTGTTTCTAAAAGTTTGCTGTTATAGAGCCACTATAATGTCCTTTTAATCACAGACGGTCTCAAATATTCCTAGATTTAGATAACTAGGACTGGGTCACATATACCCAATCACGTCCAGAGTATCATTGAGGAGCAATTTTCTGATGAAAAAATAAAACTGTACATAATACAAACAAATAGCATGGTACTTGTTGATTTCTCATCTCCATGTGATTATGATTACTGCCTCCCAAAATTGGATTATAATTAAAATGTTTTAATATGAAAAAGTGGTAAAGATCATATATGGTTGCACTTCCACATGGATCAACTTGAAGGAAAGATTCTTGTGGAAGATGTCTACATTCTAGAATACAGCTGGGGCTGGTCGGTTAGCTCACTTGGTTAGAGCTCGGTGCTGGTAACACCAAGGTCAAAGGTTTGGATCCCCTTACCGGCCAGCTGCAAAAAAAAAGAAGGAATAAAGTCGATTCTTTTTATTCATAATAGTTATGTCTGTGAAGTCGCTGCAAACACTGAATTAGCTCCTGGGGGAAATACAGGATTAGGTTCCTGCAAGCCTCTGTTCACAACACTTTCATCAGCTGATCAATACATAACCTTGTTTTATGTGTGTTTCTCTTCGAAGACACCTTATTTAATATATATTTGTTACAAATAATTATACTCAGTTTTTCTTTATAACAAAACAATTTCAATTACAGCATTTTGGAGACTACTACTTTTTCACTCAGTCATACACACACATACAGTACACATATAGTATCAATATAATAAACACAATAAGACATACTGTACAGTTCTCACATTAAACATGTACAGTACTGTGAACACATACTGTACACTGTATAGTAATACAAATGAAGTCCTGAAAAAATTAAGGATTAAGCATTTAAAGTTTCACAAAAACATTAACTAAAATCTTACTGTTGATGGAGCTGCAAGATGTGATGGAGTAGTGCACAGTGTGTTTAAACCTCTCGACCTTGGCTTGTTCCACGAAAACCAAGGGAGAGGTTGGTGGAATTTATGCTGCAGAAGAGGAAGAGGGTGGCATGTCCACATGTGGCAGTTCTATCTTAGGAGTTTGGCTTGCCACTTGTTGATGGAGTTGAAAAATCTCCCTCCCAATCTGGCTTGAAAAATTGCAACAGCCTTGTCTGCTTGGCTTTCTGCCTCAAATCTTTAAGAATTTCAGCATAAGGGGCAAATGCACTGGAGGTGAGGCGCTTAAATTTGAGACTGCGATCAAGCATAGGATCACACTCTTCCATGTCATTAAAAATTTTTTCCAAGGCTGAGTTCCACTCTGATATTTTGGCTGCTGTGAGAGGGACAATTCTTGGAGTCTTAGGCTGACTTGCATTGTCGTCCTCGTCATCACTGACTCCAACACCCTGTTTTGCCATTTCGTCCAACTCTTCATTGGTGGGTTCTACTGTCTTCTCTGCCAAAATTTCCTCCACGTCTTCTTCCTTCATGTCCTCAAAGCCTTCTCCACTTATTTGACGTGCGATGTGCAGTATGTTTCTTACACTGTTATTTATGTTTTCTGTCACACCTTCAAAGCCTTCGAAATTTTCCACACAGTCTGGCCAAACATTTTTCCAACAGTTATTGATAGTAGCCTGCTTGATGCTGTCCCAGGCTGTGTCAACATAATCCATAACGTTGCGTATAGTGACTGACTTCCAGTAGTCCATCATGGTGATTTCCTTGTTGGCCTTAAGAGCCTCCCAAGCCTTGGTGTAAAGCTCCCTCGTGTAGTGTGCCTTGAAAGCTTTTATTATGCCCTGATGGAGAGGTTGGATGAGAGATGTAGTGTTTGGGGGCATAAAAACAACTTCTACATTGGGGTGTGCATTTTCAAGTTCTTCACGGCAATGGACTGGGGCATCATCCAAAATTAATAAAACCTTGAAGGCAAGGTTTCTTCCCTGGAGATACTGTTCAGCTTCTGGGATGAAGCAGTTGTGGAACCAATCGGACATCATCCACGCTTTTTTGTTCCACTTCCAATGGACTGGCATATGGTTTACGTTTTTCTTTTTAAGAGTTTGAGGATTTTGGGCTCTGTACACCATTAGGGGTTTGCATTTAAAGTCACCCTTGGCATTGGCACACAACAGCAAGATTGCACAATCATGGAATGATTTAAACCCAGGGGCTTTGGAGGCCATTTGCGTTATATAGGTTCGTTTGCCAACATCCTTATAAAATAAGCCAGTCTCATCAGCATTAAAAACCTGCTCTTCCACATAACCCTTTTCCTGTATGACACTTAGCAAGTACTTTTTAAACTCTTCCGCAACCTCCTGATCTGCAGAACTCGCAGTCTCACCTGCAAGTTTATTTTCCACACCATAACGCCTTTTGAAACGTGCAAGCCAGCCAGCACTCGCTGAGAAGGGTTTAACATTTCTCTGACCCTGGGTAACGTGACCATAAATTTCTTTGGCTTTCAGTCTCACAACAATGCTGTCCACTATGCTTCTTCTATCGGTCGTCATCTCATGAATCCACAAATTGAGCCTCTTTTCCATCTTTTCCATAGCTTCATCGCGCACTGTAGATGTCACTTTAACACTTTCCGGAGCAGCCTCACGTACAGATCGACGAATTTCCTTTTCCTTTTTCTTGATGTACCGGATTGTTGACTCGTTAACGTTGAACTCCCGGCCAACAGCACTGTAACTCATGCCCGAACGGAGCTTATCTAACACGTGTATTTTCTCCATGAGACACATCACGGTCTTCTTGCGCTTGGGAACAGCAGACAGCACTTCAGCACTACGCTTGGGGGCCATTTGAAACAGCCAAATCACCAACAAAAAGCACAAAAATGCAAAACCCCGCGGAACTAAATACTCTTTACAGCACGCGAGCTAAAACAAGAAGGCGGAGCCTCTGCCTCCGTCAGCCTTGGCTGAAAACTTGCACCTCCGCCTCCAATTTTTCACCCTCTGCGCATGCCCAAGAATAACCCCACAAAGCCCTCTGATTATTGACTTTGGGGTTACATTTGAGCGAGTAAAACAATTTGAAAATACGAATCCACGAATATTGAGGGTCAACTGAACTTCCGTAGTTACGTAATTTTTTTTCTTCTTTTTGATCCTCCGGTACGAATCGTATAGTTACGTAATTTTAGTTAAGCATAACTACTAAATCAAGGCAGTGCGGTAGGGCCGAAGACTACAAGTTCCAGCATGCATCGCTTCAGGGAGAGGTATGTGCTCCAGAAAGGGCTGCTGAGTGTCAGCCCAGAGGCACCGGCCGGAAGTATCGTGTTTCCGACTACGTAGCAATCTCTGCGCATGTGCAGACGCTGACGGGGACGCCCTAGCTGTCGTCGCACCTCTATGGTCTCTCCCTAGAGCTTTGCTGTTGGAGGTAGCTGTGGTCTTGTGGGTTGGCCGGCCCCGAGCGGCAGCGACATGGAGGAATTCGACTCCGAAGACTTCTCCACCTCGGAGGAGGACGAGGACTACGTGCCGTCGGGTGAGCGATTCCGCCTCAGGCAAGAGGCGGATTGCCCCGCCCCACGCCTTACGTGAGGCGCGTCTGGCCCCCGCGGGCGTTGGCCCAGTGGCCCCGGTGGCCCGAGTGGCGCCGGGTTCTGAGCGTCACCGCCCTCAAGCCCCGCACCCTTGACTGCCCTGGCTCGAGACGAGTGCGCGGGGACAGTCCCTGCAGCCGCTCCCCGTGGGCGGGCTTCGGCCGCCGCCCCCTCTCGGAGCGCGGGAACCGGCACGTGAATAGCGCACTGTCTGGGGACGCTGTCGGTGCGTCCCCGAACGACACTGCTGCTTTTGAAGTCTTCTGGAAGGCAGACTGAGTGTTGGAGGTCGTCTGCAGACCTTTGGGCTCGAGGGAGTTGCTAGCTACCCCCACGTCCAAGATAGATCTAGCCACTGTCCCTCTCCACAAGGGATGTGGTTGTTAGAAAGTTCACTTGATGCATTTTGTTTCTGCCCCATTGCTCTCCCCTCAGAACTTTTCTTTGGGGGGGGGGATGGGTATCTCTAACAGAATGGGGCCAAAATAAATCTTACCACCTAAACCTGTCCCTTCCCCATCCTGCTCCTTCCCAAGACTTACTATCTCATTAAAAGTATCTTTTCCCACACAATCGCTCAGGTGAAAATCAAAACCAAAAAAAAACAAAACAACAACAACAAAAAAACCCCAAAACCCAGGAGTCTTCCTAATTCTGTCTGTCAGCCCATCCAATCAATAAGTTCTGTTATGTCTACGTGGAAAATAACTTTCTGAGCACTTATTCACCAGTCTCACTGCTACCATTTCATTCTGAGCTATCATTATCCTTTGCAGGATTTTCCATAGCTTCCTAACTGGTCTCCTAGATTCCATTCTCTTCCATTAACGTTGGTGTTAAGCCAACAGCCAGAGTGATCATTTGAAAACTAATTTTCATTTTAGTCAAAGTTATGCATGCACATACGTAACATAGTCAAGTATTTTTAAAAGGCTTGTTTTGAAAACTAGCAGCTCCCATCCCTATTCAGTCCTCTCCAGAGGAAACTCCTTTCCACTTTCTCAATTTCGTATTTCTGTTGTCTGTTAACTTAACCCCACGCATGGTAGGTCTCTTTTTTTAGTACTCCCTGACCTCATCCCCCTCCCCACACACACACACCCTTCCACCTTCAGGCCCTCCCCAGCTCCCCAGCCTGCCAGTATATACCTGTGTCCAGTTTTGTTTAGATCAGTCTTCAGTGTTTGTTTTTTCTAATGACTGTGAACACTGTGTTCACTGCTGAACCATGTGGTATACGGTGATTGCTTTTCCAGCTCTACTTGTTTTCTCTGGAGTTAATTGCCATTTTTGTTGTTGACTAGGTGTCTATGTACTTACTACTAATTTGACTAACTGGTCAACTGAACTTCCGTAGTTACGTAATTTTTTTTCTTCTTTTTGATCCTCCGGTACGAATCGTATAGTTACGTAATTTTAGTTAAGCATAACTACTAAATCAAGGCAGTGCGGTAGGGCCGAAGACTACAAGTTCCAGCATGCATCGCTTCAGGGAGAGGTATGTGCTCCAGAAAGGGCTGCTGAGTGTCAGCCCAGAGGCACCGGCCGGAAGTATCGTGTTTCCGACTACGTAGCAATCTCTGCGCATGTGCAGACGCTGACGGGGACGCCCTAGCTGTCGTCGCACCTCTATGGTCTCTCCCTAGAGCTTTGCTGTTGGAGGTAGCTGTGGTCTTGTGGGTTGGCCGGCCCCGAGCGGCAGCGACATGGAGGAATTCGACTCCGAAGACTTCTCCACCTCGGAGGAGGACGAGGACTACGTGCCGTCGGGTGAGCGATTCCGCCTCAGGCAAGAGGCGGATTGCCCCGCCCCACGCCTTACGTGAGGCGCGTCTGGCCCCCGCGGGCGTTGGCCCAGTGGCCCCGGTGGCCCGAGTGGCGCCGGGTTCTGAGCGTCACCGCCCTCAAGCCCCGCACCCTTGACTGCCCTGGGCTCTCCCAAGTCAGCTAGGGGCCGGCCCTTGAAATCAGACCCCTTGACCTTGGTGTTGTAACACCACACGGTAACCAATTGAGCTAACCAACCAGCCCCTATCAGAATTTTGAAGGTGTTGCTCCATTACTTTCTAGATTCCAGTATTGCTATTAAGAATTGCTCTATTAGTGATTTCTGCTCATTGTATAAGATCTGTTTGTCCTTGTAAGCTGATAGAATTGTTCCCGTTTTCTTATACATCACCATAGTATTATACCTTAATATGAATCTGTTTTCAGCCTTTGTGTATTGTATAAGATCTGTTTGTCCTTGTAAGCTGATAGAATTGTTTCCGTTTTCTTATACATCACCATAGTATTATACCTTAATATGAATCTGTTTTCAGCCTTTGTGCTTGGCCTTCTGGGAACATTTTTTCCCCTCAAAAATTTTTTTGTCAATTTCCTTTCTCCATTTTCTCTGTTTTATTTTTCTGGAATCTTTATTATTCATATGTTAAAACTTGTGTTAGACCTTCTGGACTGGTCCTCTAATTTTTATCCTCACCTTTTTTTCTATCCCTTTGACTTTTTCCCCACTTTATGGGAAATTTCCAGTATTTTATCTTCCTATCCTGCTGTTGAGGTTTTTTTCTTCCTTTCATATTTTTAATTTTAAATAACTTTTTTGTTCTTTTAATATTCTTTTTTTGTAACATATCCTTGTTTCATAAGTGCAGTATCTTATCAATTTAAGGATATTAATAATACTTTAAACTTTTTTTATTTTTAACTTACATACAGTAAAATTTACTCTCTTTGGTGTACTGTTCTATGATTTTTGGCAAATTTTAGAGTTGTGTAACCACCACCAAAATGAACAGTCTCTAACCCCTACTCCCCCCCCAAAAAACCCTAAAATTCCCTGTTCTACTCTTTGTAGTCAAACAACTCTCCTTCACCCCCAGTCCCAGCCACTGACGACCACTGGTCTGTTTTCTATCTGTATAGTTTTGCCTTTTTCAGAATGTAATATAAATGAAATCATAACAGTATGTAGCTTTTTATGTCTGGCTTCTTTCACCTAGCATGATACATTTGAGATGCACCCATGTTGTGCATATTAATAATTTGTTCCTTATGTAGTAGTCCGTTGTATGGAATGTACCATAGTTTATTCCCTAGTTGAAGGACACTGGATTGTTTTCAATTTGTGGTGATTACAAATAAAGCTGTTTGTAAATATTTACATACAACTTTCTGTGTGAACACGGGTTTTCATTTCACCTGGGTAAATACCTAGGAGTGGGACTGCTGGCTTTTATGGTAGGTGTACGATTGCCTTTACAAGAAACTGCCAAACTTTTCCATAGTGTTATTCCTATTGGCAACACATCAGAGTTTCAATTGCTCTTCATTCTCAACAGTACTTGAAATTGTCAGTCTTTTAAAAAATTTTTTAGCTAATTTCCTCATTTAATTTACATTTTGATAAAGACTAGTAATGTTGACTGTCTTTTCATGTGTCTGCTTGCCATCTTTATATCTTCTTTGGTGATGTATCTGTTCAAATCTTTTGCCCATTTTTAAAAATTGGCTTCTTTTCTTACTGTTCAGTTTTGGAGTTCTTTATGTATTCTGGATACTGTCCTTTGTCAGATATCTGCTTTGCAATATTTTGTCTCACTTTGTGGCTTGTCTTTTCGTTCTCCTAACAGTGTTGTTTGCAAAGCAAAATTTTTTAACTTTGATGAAATCCAGTTTGTCAAATTTTTATGTTATTTATTGTGCTTTTGGTATCATATCTAAGAACTCTTGCCTGACCCAAGACTGCAAAGACATTTTCCTATGCTTTCTTTTAAGTTTTATAGTTTTACATGTATATCATTTATTTTATCATTTTCAGTTAATTTTTGTATGATGTATGAATTATAGATTTGAGATTCTTTTTTTTTTTTTTTTTTTTTGCATATGGATGTCCAATTATTTCATCAGTATTTGCTGAAAAGACTGTCCTTTCTTCATTGAATTGCCTTTGCACCTTTGTTAAATATTAATTGGCCGTATTTGTATAGATTTATTTCTGGACCTCTATTCTGTTCCGTACTGTTTTGATTACTGATTTGCAGTTTTAAGTGTTGAAATCAGGTAGAGACAGTACTCCAACTTTGTTCTTTTTCAAAATTGTTTTGGCTGCTCTTCTTCCTTTGCCTTTCCATGTATATTTTGGAGTCACCTTGTCATTCTCTCCAAAAATACCCTGCTTGGACTTTGCTTGGACTTTGCATTGAATCTACAGATCAGTTTGGGTTGAATTGATAACTTAACAGTCTTCTTTCCCAATCATTGAATACAGAATATCTCCATCTATTTAGATCTTTTAAGTTTCAATTTCAAATTGTTCATTGTTAGTATATGGAAATACAGTCATGCTCCACATAAAGAAGTTTCAGTCAGTGAAGTACCACATACACAATGATGGTCCCATAAGATTATAATGGAGATGGAGGAGTGTGGTAGGCTGTATCATCTAGGTTTGTTGAAGAACAGTCTATATTTGCACGACCTGACAAAATTGCCTAACGATGCATTTCTCAGAATGTATCCCCATCCTTCAGCAATGGATGACTGTAAAATACAATTGTTTTTTGCATAGTAACCTTGTGGTCTACAACCTTGCTAAACTCATTTATCAGTTCTAGAGGTTTTTGTAGATTCCATGGGATTTTTCCATATAGACAGTCATGTCAAATGTGAATAGGGCTGGCCAGTTAGCTCAGTTGGTTGGAATGTGATGTTGATAACACCAAAGTCTGGGGTTCAATCCCTGTACTGGCCAGCAAAAAAAAAAAAGGTGAATGGACAGTTTTATTTCTTCCTTCCCAACTTGTATACCTTTTTTTCCCCCTTGCCTTATTGTACTTGATATTTACAGTATGATGTTGAATAGGAGTGGTGAGGGGGATATCCTTGCTTTGTTCCCAATCTGAAGTGGTAAAAAAATTAAAGTTTCACCATTTAGTACCAGATTAACTATAGTATTTTCACAGATACCTTCTGTGTGTCTTTTAAGCACTCTAACAGTGAGTAACTCATTACTAACTCAATCACATAACACTATGAGTGTGCTCCCCATTATACACACCAAAAAACTGAGGCACAGAGAGTCTAAGCAAATACCCAAAGCCACCTAGCTAGACAGTAGCTGAGCTGAGATGTAAACCTTGGCAGTCTACATATATTGTCCCTCACAGGTGCTTTTATCAGGTTAAAGGAATTCCCTAAATTTCTAATTTGCAGAGAGGTGAATTTTGTCAAATGCTTTTTCTCTATCTATTGATTTAATTATTTGTGGTTTTTCTTCTTTTTTGTCTGTTGATATGGTGAATGCAATCACTGATTTTAAAAGTTTGTTATTTATTTAAAGTTTTTTATTTGTAATTTTTAAAAATTATTGACTGCAGTAGGGAGAAAGGTGGAAAGAGTAGAACAAGGAGCTTGATCTGTAACTGACTGAACAGTGAATTGAGATAACTCATTACCTTTGGAAGCCAATTTTTAAATTTTGAATAGATTTTTATTTCTGGGATAAAGCTTACTTGGTCATGATGTATTATTTTTATACATTGCTGAATTTGGTTAGTTAATATTTTGTTGAGGATTTTTGCATCTATGTGTATGATAGATATTGATCTGTAGTCTTCTTGTAATTTCCTTGTGTGATTTTAGTATCAGATGTTGCTAGCCCCATAAACTTGGGAAAACATAGTCTGTTTCTTCCAGGGTGATTTTTATTTACCTTATATGTTTGTTTTGGACTTTATAGTCTTTCTCAGATTTTTGGTGATTCTTAGTCGTTTGTCTCATATTTAAGCATGGGACACTGAAAAGATGATTGGAAGTTCTGAGTCTTCAGACAACATTTGTTCCTTTTGTGCTTCATTGTCTTTGGGAACATTATTCTGCTTCTTATTGTCTTTTTTTTCTCATAGTAACAGCATGGAATTTGATCTTGAGTGTTTCATGTAATTAAAATTCTTTTCTCTCTTACCAAGGATATTGAGCATCTTTTTACATGTTTAAGATCCAGAGCCACGTGCATCTCCTTGTCTGCACTGTTTGCAACATTTGCCCATTTTTAGGTTGAAAATAACCTTATATTATTACAAAAGCAGCGCATGAGTTTTGTAGAAAATTAGAAAATGCAGACCATTAAGCATAAAAAGAATCATTACATTCCAACTACCTGGAGATTTTCAAGGTCAATCCCTTAGTGAATACTCACTCTTATCTTTTTCTACACCCAGGTATTGATATTTGTACTTTTTCCCCAGCCTGGAATCATTCTTTTTCATGTTATTTTGCAACCTCCTCTATTCAGTAATCAATCTCTGCCTATCCATTTCAATAAATTTCCATCTTATCTAATGTACAGACCATATTCAGATTTTCCCAGTTGACCAAAAAATGACTACAGCTTGTTTGTATAAATCACAAATGAGTTCAAGAATACACGTGTCATTTAGTTGTTCCATCTCTTAAATCTGTTTTAATCTAGCACACTCCCCTTTCCATAATGACATTGATTTGGTGAAGACATCAGGCCATATGTCTTGCAGCATGACCTACCTTCTAGATTTGTCTTGTTCCTCATGCAGTTGTTTTAAGTTGTTCTTTTGTTCCTTGAATTTTGTGTAAATTGGAAGTTAGATCTAAATGCTTGATGGGTTCAAATAAAATATTTTTGGCTAGAATACATTATAGATGACTTGTGTGTTTCATATTGCATAACATCAGAAGACACATAATACCTGGTTGATTCCCATAGTTGTGACTACTAGAACAGGATGATGACAGTCTGACCCCTCTGTTGCGTAATATTTTTTCCTTTTGAACTGAAAGTATTCTGTGTGGCAGTATACTTAATGGTTAAAATTTAAGTTGCTTTTTAACATTACTTGCTAGTCTTTTCCTAAATTAGTGCTATCATTAGAGTTTGAGAAGTGTTCCATAGTTCTACATTTATTAGTTGGTGTTCTTCTGTAAAGTATAGCTTTCCCTCATCAATTGGGGCAGGATAAATGTTTAATTCTTTTCCCTTAATTCAAATTTTCAAAATAGAGAGTAATTTTAATAGTAGCCTAAAATGGTACAAATTATCTTTTTTGTCTTTTTAAAAATATCATAAAGGGCTAACAGATTTTTATTGATTCAGTATGTTTTAGTCTCTTAACAGATATTCCTTTAAAAGGAATGTGCTTAAGTGTCACTGCTATCCTTTTAATGTGATCTATTGTTCTTAAATAACTTCCTGGCTTTCTGGTACAGCTAAATGTCCTGGTTTCACCTTATGCTTTCCTTGCCTCAGACCCGAAATTAGCTAAGTTGTTTTCAGGGAACCATTTTTGTGGTAAGTCATATTAAAGAGTACAATTTGAACTTTAGAGATGTTCGTTGCTATTAGATTAACACTGTTTCTGTGCCATTTCAGTGGACAGAAGTAGAAATATTTATCTTGAAAAGGGTTAATGTTTATGTTGATATTTTTAATTCATTTTTAACATTTGTGTTTTCACTTAATTTTTTTGATTTTATAATTGTGTATCATTTCTCTTATTCTGACGATCTGGATTCCTAACATGATTAACTTAATCTTATTTGCTTTAACCTATATTTTCTTTTCTTTTTTTTTCCTTTTTGCTTTAACCTATAACATCAAGGAAATAGTTTCAAAATACGAACACTAATGTTACTACAAGGAGTAGAACTTTTTGTCTTTAGGATGCTTCTTGCTAAAGATGTACAGTCAAAATATTATGTTTTTAAAACCTTGGACTAAATCATTTCTTGTATGGTTATATTATCATTTTGGTATACACTTATGTTTATTTTTCAAACTTTTTAATTTAAGGGATTTAAGGAAAGTTCTATATATAGATGAGCAAAGAGTACCCTGTTTTACCCTGACCTTTTATAGGGAGTTATTTTCATTAGTTTCTTGTTTATCCTTTCAGTGTTGCTTTTTGCACATATAAACAAATATGTATATAAAACATATTCTTCTTTCTTTCTTTTTCTTAATCAAAAGCTTGTGTATTTTATACACTGTTCTTTTGCACTCCCATACCTCTTTTCTCTTTAACTTAGTAGTATATTCTGGAGGTAACTAGATAAAAGTCCTACATACTCCTTTTCAATGGCTGTGAAGTATTCCGTTATTTATATGTACCATAGTCTATTCAACCGGTCACTCATTACTGGACAGCTTGGGCTGTTTCCAGTCATTGTTATTACAGACTACACTGGAGTGAATAACCTATTACATATTCTAGGATAGAATTCTAGAAGTAGGATTGCTGGGTTGAAGGCAGATGCGTTTGTAATTTTGTTAGATATTGCCAAATTCTCCTCCATAAGGTATTAGTTAGAATTTGGCAGTATCTAACAAATTAAAGATACATGAGTGTGCTGGTTGCTGCATAAGATTGCCAACATTATTTACACAATGATGGCATGTTTGTACAGTATTTTGTACTTTGCTTTTCTTATATTTGTAAAAATGTGAAATATGTGCAAATAAGAGTGTCACATGTATAGTTTAAAGAATACTAATCAAATGAATACTCATGTGGTATCTTCCATGAAGCTAGTTTAAGAACTAGAATTATGTTTTGTTTCGTTTTTGGCAGCTGGCCAGTGCAGGGATTGAACCCTGGACCTTGGTGTTATCAACACCATGCTCTAACCAGCTGAGCTAACTGGGCAGCACTAGTAAAGTATTTAAAAGCTGATTGGATGTACAGGAATATCAAAACAGCACTGTTTGTAATGTCCCCAAACTGGAAAAACCTAAATGTCTATCACCTTTAGAATGGACAAATAAATTACAGTATAGTTATACAGTGAAATACTATTTAGGAAAGAGAATGAATAAACTATAGCTACATGCAACAACATGGTTGACCTCATGAGTATAATATTGAGTGAAAGAAGCCAGACACAAAAGAGTACATATTGCAGGCTTTTTTTTTTTTTTGTCTATTCAAAAATAGGCAAAACTAATCTGTGGTGTTAAAAAGTCAGGATAGTGGTTGCCTTTGCAGTAGAGACAGTGGCTGGTGGCTAAAAGAGCCACAAAGGGGGGGAGGGTGGCTTCTGAGATGCTGATAATGTTCTGTTTCTCCAGCTGGGTCCTGGTTATGCAAGCATGTTCACTGCATATCATTTCATTGAAGTGTACATTAGATTTGTGTGCTTTTTGGTATGTATTTTTCTCATGAAAGTTTATATGAAGTAAAAGAGAAAAAAACTAGTTGAATCTTTGTGTGGGCAGGGTTGGTTTATTGACTGGTACCCACAGAGTGTGGTAAGATTGGGCATCCAGGCAACACTGTTTTGTTGGGGACCCCAGATGGTCAGTGTCTGAGGATGTGGGACATAGATGCGTTTGTTCTTTCTGCTGTGTTTAACAGAGAGTCTTTAGGTTTCTTCCTAACCTCTTATTGACAAGACAAGGTATCTTTTGCTTACGTTTGAAAGATATCTAGGATGAGGTGGGAGCATCAGTTTCTTCTTTGAGAGGTACATTAGTAGAATTGGAATTTTCATTCATTCATTTGTTCATTCAGCATGGACAAACAGGGTCTATGTCCTCATGGAATGTAGAGCATAGCAGAAATTGCAAATATTAAGTACAAGAGGGATGAATTATGGAGAGGAAATATGGATTACAGTGGAAGCCTAGGTTAGGAAAATTTAGCCTAATCTTCAGGGGCAGGGAAGAGTTCCCTAAGGAAATGATGTTTTAGTTAGGTGAACAATAAGGGAAAGTACTAGATTTTATTCTTAATGAAAATGTTTCATCTTAATGTGAAAACTTTTATTCCTGTCTGTCTGACCACCCTATTATGTGATTTCAGGTGGAGAGTATAGTGAAGATGATGTAAATGAATTAGTGAAGGAAGATGAAGTGGATGGTGAAGAGCAGACACAGAAAACCAAAGGGAAAAAAAGAAAGGCTCAGAGCATTCCAGCCAGGTGATGCTGCCCTCAAGGCTTGTAGATGTCAGGGGCTGTTGTCACAACCATCCTGACTGCTGAGATTGGTCTGATGATGGATTTCTTTACTAAAGGGTTTCTAACCCTTTTCTCTTTGAAGAAATCATTTGCTGATATTCTAGATTAAATTCTTGGTCTCTGGCAAGCTCTGAAAATTTTTGAGCTTTAATTAAACAGAATTTTAATAGGTAATATGTATACACGGTTAAAACAAAAAACTCAGTTACTACAAAAATGTACATCCTGTTTCTAGCCCTTGTTGCTTTGCCTCTGAAGAACTATGTTACCAGTAGAGATAGTATGTGCATGTACAAGCATGTATGTATATATTTCCTGCCCTCTTTTTTTAAAAAAAGAAAAAATATAAATAATAGCATACTCTGCATATTGTTTCTCACTTTCCTTATTTCACATCCTGGAGATGGTACCATGGCAGTACATTTAGATATACTTCATTCTTTTCAGTGACTATATAGTATTATATGAATAGGCCCGACTTTATCTAAACATTCCCTGTTGAGGAATGTACCTAGTCTTTATTGCAATAAATAAGACTTCAGCAAATATTCTTTGCACAGTCATCCCTCAGTATCTGTGGGGGATTGGTTTCAGGACCTCCTGTGTATACCAAAGTCTAGGGATACTCAAGTTCCTGATATAAAATGGGAGTAGTATTTGCCTATAACTTAAGCACATCTTCCCATATACTCTAAATCATCTCTAGATTACTTATAATACCTAATACAATGTAAATACAGTATAAATAATTATTATACTATATTGTTTAGGTAATAATGACAAGGGGAAAAAGTCTGTACATTTTCAGTACAGATACATTTTTTTTCCCCCAAATATTTTTGATCTGCAGTTGTTTGAATAGATGTGGAACCCACAGATACAGAGGGCCGACTGTATATGAGGGTACATCAAAACCCCCAAATATTTTTGATCTGCAGTTTGAATAGATGTGGAACCCACAGATACAGAGGGCCGACTGTATATGAGGGTACATCAAAAAGTTCATGGAAAGATTACTATGATCTTTTTTTTTTTTTTTTTGGAGCATGCCAGTACGGGGATCTAAATGTGCTATCTTGGAGTTATAAGGCTGCTCTCTGACCAACTGAGCTAACTGGCCATTATCTTTTAATGCTGTTTTTTTACTAACTTTTTAAAATACCCTCATATGTCTTTGTATACATATCTGTATATTTGTAAGTGAAATTTATAGAAGTAGAATTGTTTGATCTAAGGTTATATGTAGTTAAGTTTTTTAAAAAATAGATATTAGCAGATTGCCTTCCATAGGCCTGGTACTGAATTACACTTCCACCAGAAATTATGAAAATCTGACAGATTATTTAACTCAGGTAAGGGAATCTTCCATAGAAGTCTTTTATCTCACTTTTATTGGTGTTTCTGTCTTCCTGGGCATTGAAGCAAAAACCAGATTATAGTTTATGAAAAGGAAAAAAAGAATTTTAGATACTAGATGATTTACCTGAAGTCAAAGTAGTCGAAAAAACAATTTACTCGTATAAGTCTTGGGTCCAGTTCTTTTCTCCTTGAATTTTTCTGTATTCCAGCTTTCATTTCTTCAAGAAGTAGGAAGAAATACTGATATTTTGTTTCCCTGAGAACTCTTGGAAGAAATAGTGCAAGTAAATTTGAGGCTCTTCTCAATAGAACTTGTTTTCTGAATGGAGTGGTTTTAAAAAGTCAAAAATATCTCGCATATATATATTCCAAGAACACTCTGGGCAAATTAATTCTGTGAGCTGATTTTGGCTGTTTTCTTGGTGAAAATACCTGGTCTTGACTTAGAGGTAGAACACTATATTTCTATTCTAAGTGATTGGGAGAAATGCTCAATTCTGTTTTTCTTCTACAAAATTTCAGCTTATTTCTCCTACTCCTCCCAGTGTATTAGTCAGTAGTCCCAGATTTAAAAATTTTCTCAGGTTTGCAAGATTATGTTTGGAATTGAGGAAGGGGTAACTGAAAAAATTTTGCATTGTCTGTCATGTCTTTCCTTTTTCTTGTGACTGTTGGTGATTAGGAAGAGGAAACAAGGTGGCCTGTCAGTAGAAGAGGAAGAGGAGGATGTCAAGTCGGAATCTGAAGGAATTAGCAGTGAGGAGGAAGATGAATCTGCAGAGCAGGAAAAAGGCAATGGGTCAGAGGATGCAAGGAAAAAGAAGGAGGATGAACTCTGGGCCAGCTTCCTCAATGACGTGGGACCAAAGTCAAAAGTGCCCCTGAGTACACAAGTTAAGGCAAGTTCAGAGATAAAGGTGAATGCCTCTCCAGAAATACCCTAATTTTAAATTTCCAATAGGTCTTTGGTTAGAGAAGAAACATTTAAGACCAGCCATAAATAGCATTTTGTTTGTTTGGTGGCTAGCTCGTAGAGGGATTGAACCCTGGACCTTGGTATCAGCACCATACTCTAACCAAGTGAGTTAACTGGCCAGCCCACAAACAGCATGTTTTGATTGTTCTTTTAGATTTCGTCCTTTGCTGAAATTGATTACATTTCTTGCTTTTTTCATAGAGAGGAGAGGAGACTGAAGAGACAAGTTCAAGTAAATTGTTGGTCAAAGCAGAAGAGCTAGAGAAACCTAAAGAAACAGAAAAAGTTAAAATCACCAAGGTGTTTGATTTTGCTGGTGAAGAAGTGAGGTAAGAAGACCTTCACAAACTTTGAGACTAGTATTTTTGAAAGTGAGCATTTTTCTAAATAGTGTTAGCCACCTATCCTCATTCCAGCCTATCATAATATTTTGGAAGACTTATATTTGACCTCTAAGGAAACTGGCTTCATAAATTGTCAGGGAACGTGAGAAAGGTCCTCTCACATACAGTAATATAGTTTTCAGTTGTATTAAGTGATCAGCTGGAAGCAAGGAGATGTAAGAGTCAAATATTTGGTTCTACCATTACCATGCTTTGTGACTTCGGTTAAATCATTTCTCCTTATATTACTTTCCTTGACTGTGAAATACAAGCCCCAGTGAGGCCTCTGAAATTAGATAAGAATTAAAAGTACTAGGAGAGAAATTTGGTTGCAGTATTATTTCCTTACCTTAATATTATGTTGTAATTGATTCATGAGGTTTATTTACTATTATTTAGAAATATAGTAAGGGCTTAATGCTTTGACCAGTTTAGCCTCCTGGCTGTTCAAGGTAAGAACCACATGCTTGGAATTTCCTGTCCCCCATTTATTTAAATTTTATTATGTGAAAACAGCAGATCTATACTTTAGAGCTGAATGAAAACAGATGAAGTGCTTGCTAATCAATAATTTTATGGATGGTCACATTTATTTTCCTTGACAGTAATTAATTGGACCTGGGAGCTCTCTGAGAATATAATCTCCTTTAAAATTGTTATTTTAAAAATAATGTCTGTTTTCCAACAGTTGTTTCATCCAATGAAAATACACTTTGGAAAAAGAATTTAACATTATCAGTTTTATAAATGGTATGGAGCAAAACTTTTTTTTAAAAAAAAACTTTCTACCCAACATTTTCTTCTGAAAAATTTCACTTACAGAAATATTACAAGAATAGTATTACAACAAACAGCCATGTACCTGTCAAGATTCACCACTGGTTACTGTTTGCTCCTCTCTTACCATCTGTATTTGTATTTTTCTTTTGTTTTGGATGAACCATTTGAGAATTACTTGTAGACATTTTGACAGTTCATTCTTAAATAATTTAGCACGTCTCCTAAGAACAAGGGCATTCTCCTTTGTAGCACAATATAACTTGCACATCCAGTAAATTTAACATTAGAGCAGATTACTATCTATGTTGAAGGACCCTGGTTTAAATTTAGCACGTCTCCTAAGAACAAGGGCATTCTCCTTTGTAGCACAATATAACTCGCACATCCAGTAAATTTAACATTAGAGCAGATTACTATCTATGTTGAAGGACCCTGGTTTAAAATTTTCAGTTCATTGCAAAGCTTTTGTAAAATTCAATAAAATGAATTACTAGAAAAATAAATTTTAAGAGATATGCAAAATACAAGCCCAAATTTTTAATAAGACTCAACAGACTTAAAATTATATTTCAATAAATTCAGCTGAAGATAGGAAAAGAATTACATGACTATACAGGCTGTATATACTCACACATTGAAAGTGTGAGTATAGGTGTATAGGTGATTGATACAGGGAATCAATTATACCTTTTTGTTTTTCTGCAATTGAAACAAAAAAAAAAAGCTAAGAGTAAAATATTATTTCTTAGTATTAAACATCAGATACACATTTTGAATGAATGCTGTTTACATTAGTATTTAAAGTTTTTATTGTGACAAAAGAGCTTATTTTTTGTTGATTTATCTAAGCCAGAATGATGATAATACTATTCCTGGGGGATAATGTATATGTAAATTTTTTCTATGTTGGTTATCTTTTTCTAAATAACACTCATGATGAAACTCATTTCACAGAAATATTTTGACGGGATCGGAGATTTAAATTTTACAGCAGTTTCATTCAGTTTAGGATTATATTTTTACTTTTATCCAAAATGAAACTAGTGATGCTGTATTTTCTTTTTTTTTTCTTTTTTTTTTTTTTC